CATTCCTGGGGAAAAAATCGTGTATCCTCTGACTGTCAATTGCTCCAGTGGATGGAGAAGCCCCAAAGGAGTGCGAGAGCAACCTGGTGGTACCACCAAAGTCCAAGCTGCATATCGCTCCTCAAGCTCAGCCCAGTGGGTGACGCCATCACAGACCCTCAAACTCCTTCGTTTTTCAGCAGTCTATGCAACTGCTTCAGCAAGTGACATCTTTTCTCAACACTGAAATGTGAGAAAGGGGTAAAAAAAGACTCTAAATCCAACTTTTCATCTTTTAAACACAACATTTATCAGACCGTGGAGCTAGTCTGGAAAATTTCCCAAACCTTCTGTTATGACATGAAGTGTCCAACTGTTAAATCAATGTTTAGAAATGCAATTTAAAGCTGGCAGAGGTTCAGGTCTCCATGTCAGACAGATAAAGAAGAGCCTATGTATCACTGTGAAAGAAGTCCTTATTCCTGCTCCAGTTGTTCGGTTTTTTAAGTAGAAGTTTAGTATCACACAAAACTGTGCAGAAAGGTATACAACATTACATCTTAGTAAATATGGCTCATCTATTTGTCATTTAACCAGAAAAACTTAATGTTCCCTTTGTTTGGCTCCAAATCTTTTAAAATTTCCTTTCCTATAGTATTTAAATGAGAAAATTTACCATCTGTCTTGGCCTTTACCAAAATGAAATTTAAATATTAAAGAGTTTTCATGGCCAGCATTTTGGAATTGTAACAAGCCTTAACATAAAAAAAAATCCAATTTTAAGTTCTGTTTATCACAAAGGCTAAAAAAAAAAGAAAAAGGAAAAAAAAGAAAGAAAATGGAAGCTCTTCATATCCAAGCAGCCTGAATTTTCAGTATTACTGCCAATGAACTGCACACTTGAAGACCAGTATTTAGCGACCGAAATGATTTCTAATTGTTGCTGCCTCTGTAGCCTTTTATGTCATGCTCATCACTTGATGATCTAGAAATAGCAAAGATATCTGAGCAACTAAAATATCCCAGTTCCCCAAGAGGTTAATGCTTTCAGTTATAATTATCTCATGAGTAATTTTGAGGAATGATATCTGAGAAAATTATAATCTGATGTCAGTATCTGAAGAGGAGAAAAGAGGTTAAATTGTCATATTAGTCACTGGCTATGAGCAATCATCCACTGAACTAAAATACCAGGCTTTCCCAATGCGTTTCCAAACGCATCCTTAACTTCTTGCCTGGCTTTGGAGCCAATCTTTTCCTAGACTCAAGTGTCAGAGGAGAAGTTGGCTCTGAAGTTCCAATTCAGTCTTGAAAAACTAGCAAAGCCCAGAGAGGACTGCTGCAACCCCTCTAGCATCTGAGGTAGCTTAAGATCCCTGTTTTGCTCCTAGTAGCACTCAGGACATTGTACAAACGACTGAAGCTGCACACCTGCATGGCAGGAGGCAAGGGCTCCTGCTTCTTGGAGATGACTTCAAGTCATTCATGGAATACATTTTTTTCATGATTTGGTTAGGTAGCAGCTGGGACCTGTCTCTCTTGCACAATGTAATTCCTTGAAGAAGCTGTATACAAATGTATAGAAGTTTTACCGTGGGACAATATGGAGAGTCAGTTCTTGTCAAGTCATCTGCAGACTGTTCATCCAAGTTGGAGATTACTTTTGTGGTAGAGAGATAAACAGGGAAGTAACCAAGCAGAAAGAGGACGATTAAATCTTGTAAGTTTGGGATAACAGGGGAAGAACAAAAAGTGAGAACCATCACACACTCCCACAATTTTTATTAAAAAAATATTAGAGGTTCAAAATTATGTAAATATGTTTTTACAGGAAAGTAAATTAATTGACTTTTGACATTTTCTGTTTATTATTGCAAATAATTAATCCTTATGAACAATTAATCATAATAGATGGGGTGCCTTGAAACACAAAGAATGTGAAGACCTGGGAGCTGCTACCATGGACCACTGGGTGAAGAGACTGAACCTATCTTGTGTGCTAGGGCTCTAACTTGTGGAAAGGGTAACCCCCATCTGACTTACCTGACTTTCTGCAAATCAGTGAAGATCTTTTAAAAATTCCTAAGTTTAAATATTTAAGTTTTTGTCTTTTCATGGTACTGCTAGGAAGTAATGACCAGAAGTGTCCTAGCCAGCTCAGCCTGGAAGTGGTGTGTTTTTCTCCATGTCCCAGTATTGCACCTCAGCGCCGTGAGCTCACGTGGGCTGAGATGCAAGACACTGACAAATTCACTTTACCGAGTGTCCCAGTAAGCAAACCACTGTAAATCAGCCCCGAAAGTAGCTCTGCTTGCTCTAGTGCCCTCTCTGTACTTACACCTCTGTGCAACCTTCTTCCCCACCAAGCAATGAGTCAACTTACAACAGCCCTTAATGCCTATTCCTTTCATCCCAAAGGAGAAGCAAAGTGACCCAAATGTAGGCAGATTCAGGCTATGGTCTAGATTTGCCTTTTTGACCTGACTGTATTGCTGTATACAGAGGCCATATTGCAAAAGTTCTCTTTCTTTTTTTAAAATTTTCTTGTACCCCAGAAATACACCAGGAAATGCCTAAATGCGATGGGAGGACTCTGTGGCTTTCAAAAGATGATTTGCATGAATCCAGTGTTTCTGAAAGCACAGTTCTTTAAATATTAATATTATTCAGCAGCACAGTAACCAGAGAGCGAAAGGGTAAAAAAAACCCACAAAAACATGTTTTTGTGTGTTCAGAGCCATGTTCTCCTGTAGGATTTGTTGCCATAAATTTCTGGGCCACAAAACAGACTGTATTTCGCAAGGAAGGCTGCAAGTTACCAGGAGAGTTAATTGGTTTATACTGTTTTAATAAGACCTCCAGGGAAACAGATTTAATAGTTGAGCGCCGGTATCACATAATAAAATATGGTTTATAGAGGATATTACAATGCAAGATACAGCATGTCTAACTGGAAAGTATTTGCTGAACTTTCAGGCAACAATATCTAAATCTATTATGTTGAAAGTCTGGAAATGGCTATGTGGCCACAGTAGTTAAAATGAAAACAAGCTAGAGATTTAGGTGGAAACCATCTGCCATGAGGGAATCAAGAGTTTTATTGTGGGAAGGTCACTCAGAGACCTTCCTTTTAGAGAGGGAAATAAAAGGATCCAATGTACAGTTTGCTACAAGCACTCATCAAACCAACCTCTCTCCCCTTTTCCCTTCCCAACAGCAAGGCTTCCTGCAGGGAAGGTGAAAGGTCATACCACAGGGAATTTACAAACCTGAACTTGGACCCCATATTGTGGGGTCTGTGATCAAGGTGAAACAGCAGAATTTACCACATTTTTCACTCATAGGTTGCGAGGTCGAAATTCTTGGAGTCAGACCGAGTTATTGTCGCGAGTACTTCAGTGTCCCATCAGACAAAAACTTTGCGGATGCCATCCATGATGCTCTTGAGTCTCTGAGGTACGTCACTGAACTTCTGCAGTGTGGGGTTTCCTCTCTCAAGAATGAGTATTTGGGTTTACTGTCAGCTTTGTTGTAGGGAGATTTTCAGGATTGACTTCCAGGAAGGAAGATGGTGGATGGGATTACTTCATAATACTGTTACAGCAGCATGACCATAACAGAAATACGCTCTTACATTCAGATCAGAAGGAAAGATGTGCTCCCCTTTTCATATATAGGTTACAACACAGAGGAGACACTCTGACTTACTATTTTTAATTTGCTGTTTCAAACAGCTTCAAGATCAGTCGGTGAGTATCTGTTCACTGACCTGCAGCAGCAGACTTTGAAATGCTTGGCTTTAGAGAGAGCTCCTGGGAATCTGGAAATTCTGAAATTCAGCTCCAGTCACTTATTTATGTGACCAATGTTTTGGCTCCTGCTGCATTTTAGAACATCTCAGGCACAATGATTTTGGAGTGGACATTCCTTTTGTCCAAATTTGTGTATTGAACAGAACAGAACAGAATAGTTCAGTTGGAAGGGACCTGCCACGATCATCTAGTCCAAACAGTGGGAAAGATGGGAATATATACATATATCAACCAGCTCCTAGGAAAAATGTATTCTCCACTCCCAGCTTTCTAGTTCGACCATCTCTCATCCAAATATTAACAAGGGACAATTCCACATACCTTGTAAAATCAGGGAAGATTGCACCGCAATGTGTGAATCCAATCCCTTACCTTAGCTATAACTAAGCTTCCTCTTTTAAAAACTTGTTGCTTCTGTAATTTATCCATTCCTAGGATGCACATCTAATTTGCTACTTGCAAACTGCCATATTGATTTGAATCTGAAGAGTTTCATATTCAAATTCTCAGTGTTCCCTGTCCTGGAAATGAAGGCTCCAAAATGATGAGAGTGCTGCTGGAGATGTTGCTTCCCATAGCACACTAGGTCCTGCTACAGAGCTGCTCACAAATCACAGTGTTATTTACAGCACAGGGCTTAGAGAGAAGCTGTCTCTGAATATGTGGGACACTTGATCCTGAAATTATTTAGCTTAAATTTTAAGAAAGTTATCTGCATGTGATGTGAGGAGTTCATAAGCGCCATGGGAGGCTTTTTGGATCTTCTGCAACACTTTTGATCCAGTGAGTAAAGAAGGGAATGAGAAACTGAATATAGACACCAGCTCTGACTTCTGGTGAAAGCCCATAATTACCATGGAAAGCTCTTTGGTCAGGTGTCATTTGGGGATGGGTCCTTATCCTTTTTCTCAGTCGTTTCTTCCATTATTCATCCCCTTCATTTAGTCCTTTAAAATTTAACTAACATTTTTCAGTGCTTATGGGCCAGCCCACAAAAATTAAAGTCTCTGAAATGCCTTTATTGTAGGCATATTCATTTAGCAAGACTTAGCATCACTGGGTAGGAGAGACTTGAGGTGCATTTTATTGTCATCTACATCCTTTTGCAAGAGCTTCTTGGTGTTGTTCAAAGGCTGGCAAATCCAGCATGTTTCCTTTCCACACCCCAACTAATTGAAAAAGCCCATTAGGCTGAGGCTGCCACCAGCTTTACGTGGGAGAACAGCCTGTGGCAAGGGCAGTCTGTCGCCTGGAGCAGTGCCCTGCTCAGCTGCCCTAATGGCAGGTATTAGTGGTTAATGAATGGCAGTCATGCTTCCACCATTATCAAACCTTACAGGGACTTCAAGGTAGAGAAAACAAGTCCTTTATTATGGCAGGATGGCCTAGAGATTAACTTGAGTTTGGGCATGGAAATATTCTGACCCATCTTAACTTCACTGGGGTCAAAGGGAGTTTCATCAATGCGCTCTGCAAGGCCAGGAGTACCCAACTCACCAGGGAGACACTGAGCTCCTCTAGCAACCAAAGGAAACCATTCTTCAGGAATATTCTCCAGTCTCTTCAAATAGGTTCTTTGAGACCATTATTCAGACCAAGAATATTCAAAACTAAGTGAAGCACCTGGTTTTGGTTAAGTAAAACTAAAACCTCCCTTATGCCTTTTTTTGCAACTATAATTTAAGGTCTGTTGTAATCTACTTACTTTCCTGGACAGGTGTCACGAAGTTTGCGTGGTACTTGCAAAATGTGCTGATAAAATATAAATCCCTTTTTGGTATTGCCATCGATGCCATCCAGCTTTGTTCAGCAAGCTTTCCTTAGCCATTTCTTTTGAAAGTTACTGGTGATGAGAGAAGACAAGACCAACATGTGTATAGAAAGACACATTGCTTCTTCTGTGCAAGCCATGATCAAAGATGTCTAGTTTTCTTAGGAAAACAGGCAAAAAATGGAAACAAAGTCAAACTCAATTTCACAAGCTTTGGATGTGCTGTACCAAATCCTGCAAAGTCCTAAGTGTGTCGCATAACTGGAGCTTGGCCTACGTGTAAAGTTGAATGTTCATCCTTACAGCACTGAGCCCTCACTAAGATGTCTCACCATGGCCTAAATAAGGCCACTTGTTTCATGCAATAAATCTCTTTCTTAGCTTCTGTCTTGATTGAAATGAGCATTTAGTTACAGGTGAGAAGACACAAAGCAGTCTAAGTAGCTAATTAGTACAGACACTGCAGTCAAAGAAAACTCAATAGGTTAAATGAGTGTGTATGCAATATAGAAATTACAGGGTTAAATTTTAGAAATTAATTTATGTCTAATACAGATGGAAAAATGCTTACATTTAAATTGGAGGGAGGGAAGGGCTGCTTAATTTGAATGATTTTTTTTTAATCATGAAGAGTGAGAAAAAACACTGTTCTTCAAGGCCAGCAGTGGAGAAATTCTCACCAGGGCAGAGAGCTTCAGCTTCCCACAGGACTGCTCCTCGGAGGCCTTCAGCAAACTTACAAATGCAAATGACAGCCCCTAATTCATTCATTCATTCAGTCCCTCACCTCTGTTCTTTTCTCTTCTGTCTCGTTCATTACACCAGACTACTTGGGTGTCTTTAATCAGAGGAGCTGGACCTGTCAGGACATCACACAAAGTCTTTTCACAGGGAACTTGATCCGGATGAGGGCATTATTATGGATGGCACACCCTGTCATGTATTAAGTACAGTAGAAAATGACTGGGTTACAACTTCTGGAGCATAGATTTTTACAGTAAACTGTAAAGTGGTCATGAAAATGTAATTTCATGTAATTTGAGGTATGTGCAATCCCCACTAAATATGCTGAGGGCATTCAGCGTAGAAATATGTGATCAGCTAAATTTGTGCAACTCTGAGATTACCTTAGTTTCCCTTTGGTCATATTCCTGAATAAAAAACCCATCTAAAAATCTCACCCCAATTCATACCACCCAGGATTTTGGAAGGCCATGAAAGAGTCTATCCTGAGCTGACCTCAGTGTTTAGCAGAACTCACACAGGAAAAAGCCAGAAGTGCCAACCTTCAATTAAAGCACATTTGACTGGTAATTCCAACAATCCTTTTAATAAGGGCATTCAGCACAGAAATTAGTATTTCTTCTGGGTCTTTCTTTGTCATTAAAGGACAGGTCATCTTCCTAATTCAAAGAGGCAGTAGAGGGCTGTCAGGCCGGCCTATGTTTGCACATGGCAGTCTCTACCTGGCGCTTTTGATAGGAGTCTCAAGCAAACTCAGGAGACTCTAGGTGTGAATAACGAGCCCAGCCATGCCACAGCAGGTAGGAAAGCACAGGATGAAAGCAGAAAATGGGGGTTTGGGACTCTACTCACCAGCAGCCAGGAGGTCCCCATGCATGTCAGCTCCTCACTCCTTCCTCTCCGTTCACCTCCAGCAATGGCAGTGCAGACATGGCTGCAGTGTACTACGAGCGCATTGACGTGGAAGGCCACCACTACGGCCCTTCATCCCAACAGCGGAAGCGTGCCTTGAAGGAGGTGGACAAAGCCTTGAGCAACATGATCACGCTCATCAAGGTGAGTGGCATCCAAAAACCCAGCTCCGGGGTGTGACTGGAAAAGGCTTTTAAAACCACTCTTTGTAGCACTGCTATTTAATGCCTGTTAACTGGATGTGTTGGCTGTAAACTTTTATTTCCTGAGAAACAGAGGCTACCCAGATCATGTGGAAGTCAAGGCATCATTCCCCTGGTTTTTATTTTCATTGATAGTGTTATAATCCTCCTAGTGGATTATTACACCGAAAGCCCTGGGAAGCCATAAACAAAAACATGTGTTGCTCTGTTTATAACTTGTGTTGCTGCCTGGGATTTATAGTAGGCAAATGAATCAAAACTGCTCGGTTCCTAAGGTTTGTAGAATCAGACAATTAACTTTTACAGTAGTTTTTATGGCACCACTCAGAACTCTGTACTTTAAACTTTGGTTTAAAAAACATTATCTAAATGATTTTGCAGTGAGAAAGGGAGGATACTAAGCTTCTGGGTAAATGTCAAGTCTATGAATATTTCTGACAATGATAAACACATGTTAGAGTTTTTCATGTGTTTCAGTGAGGAGAGGAAAATGTATTTCCAATTTCACTAAATTACAAAAGTTCTAATGCTAAGTGGTTGTGGCTGGGACAAGAGGGAAACACCCCTGCCACAAGTGGTACCATGTAAAAGCTGCTCTCCTCCAGGCATTTTGGCCTACAGATGAAGATCAGTGGGACAAGACCAACTGGGACAACTGGTCTGTAGGACTGGGATGTAGCATCTGGTTATAGCAGAGGGATGGATTTATTTTGGCAAATCTCTCCTTGGCACTATCCTCTTAGACTCTTCCAGGGCAGCAAGTGGATGTCCAACATTACAGGCAGTGGCAAATCTCACTGCAGGGCATTTGTGGCCATACTCCTTCTGGCCAACTTCCACTAAATCAGTGGAGGTCAAATGGGGATCAAAATTTGCCAGTGGGCACAGTAAAACACTTTCCCAGCCGTAACAGCTATCATGCACTTGCTTCACAGAACAAGGGCCTTCAAAATGATATCAACGTCCTCCTCTTCTCCGATCACGGGATGACAGACATCTCTTGGGCCAACAAAGTGATTGAGGTGAAAAACTACATCAATATGAGTGATACCATTCAAATGAAGGACCGAGGTCCTGTTGTGAGCCTCTGGCCAGCTCCAGAGAAGCATGCGGAGGTAAGTACAACTTATTTGTATTTATTTAGTTTTGTGTTTCCTCGGTTTTTATGACAATCGTGTCTTTTGTTTGCTCATAACATCCAAATTCCGCTCTCAGAGATGTGGGTAAGAATCAGCCTGAGGCTCTTATCAGGAGTCAGACTTGGATCTTGTGACACTCTTGTGATGCTGGTTTCTGAAGGAAACCACAAGGCAAATTAAAAAGTATGAATTTTCACCATTATTTGGCACAGATATGTGCTTTTAATCCCCACCACTACGTGCTTCTGATAAACGGCTAAAAGATTTCAGCTCAAAATCCATTTTTAGGATTTTATATATATATATTAGTCAATGTACTGACACTACAGCTGGGATTTTCAAATGATCTGGAGGAGGTTAAGCATTCATATTCCAGTAAATTCCCATAGTGTTTAAGGAATCAACTCCATTAGATCAGAAGTACAAAACATAAATTTCTTACAATATTCTCCTTTGAAGCTTTTTGATGAATAAGCATGTTGAATTGAATCAATTGTAAAAGCCCAAGGCTAGAACTGCCAGATTTTGAGTGACAAATTAGAACAATAGAGAAAAAAACTTAGCAACCACTTGAAAAGAATGAAAATGCAGCATCTGTAACTGATAGAGTAGTACATCATAGTTTAACCAGAAACCAGTGCTTAAGAAGTCCTTATTGCTGTCCTCAGAATAGAAATGGGCCATCCATGCTCCAGGTGTATAGTTTTATTTCCTGTATTATATTTTAGGCAGTTCCTTTATATTTTAACTTGTGCAATTTTTTGGAAGAGAATATTTGCTAATTTATGCACCCAAAGAGATTCTCCAGGAATTGTATAGCTGTGATATTGTGAACATTTCACATTAGTGCCAGAATTGAAAGCCACCGTAGGGTCCTGTGTAAGCACTTCACTCAGAGTTCCTGCAGAGGATCACAGCATTTATATGTGCTATCCTCAGCCTTAACTCAGAGATCCCTATTTTTGTATGCCAGACCTTCAAAGAGGGGCAAGTATAAGTTGCAGCTTCACAGAGACATGGTGTTTCATCCGACAAAGCTCTTAAGCATGTGCTTCTCTCTCGTTAAACAGCCTAATATCCCTAAGGAGAATAAAGTACAATGCCTCGCACCATGGTTTTCTTTTCTTCCTTAATTTCTTTTTAGGACTTTGTTACTGGAGTGCTGATTTTTTAGCAAAATAAAATTGATTTTCTGTTATCAAATAGCCAGATTCCTCTAATTCTTAATTCGCTTTAAAGAGCCATGTTTAGGAATTGGATCATATCATAACATAGTGGTTATCCCCTTTAGAATCTATCTCATTTTGAAGCACCAGAAGTACTGGTGAGACACCAGGACCACTCTCTGGTCCAGGTGATGGTGGGAGGGTCTGGCTGAGTCACGCTGTGACACCCTGGTCCCGTCCTTATGGTGACAGCATCTCAATGCAAATATCAAATATCAATGCAAATCATTTGCACACATATGCACACAGGGGGCACTTAGCTAAAAGGCTAGTGAAGGACCTTTCACTCTTTGCAGAATCAGACTATTTATTCCTGAAGATTATATTTAAGCAAAGAGTGATATACACTCTGGGGACTCCAATAACCACCTGCTTTATGGCATATGAACATCTTGTTTAGGCATTTAAAATATTTTTCTGAATAATTTGAGGTTTGACCACATTTGTGTGATTATACTTCAGACAGTATGATTAATATTAATAAACCACTCATATAGTATTGTGCAGCTTCAAAGCTGCAGGGGTTGGTTGATTAATCTAATGGCATCCTTATCAAGAGATAACAAAGCACTATCAACCCCTTTGATAGAGATTGCCTGGTTAAGTGTAAGAAACACAGGTGAGGTGACATTAATTGTTCACTCAAGAGAACAAAGAGGGAATGAGTGGCAGAGGCCAAAGGCAATATCCCTTTTTCTGCACGCGTACCCAGTCCACCTGGTGCCTTTCAGCATCTCTCAGCAATTGGCTTACTGTCTCCTGTGATGATTTGGTTTCTGCTGGTCTATCTCTGATATATTCACATGCATACATCTGTGAGTGTGTGTATTATAAATATATGTAACACATGAATTTATGTGTTCCTATGTGTTTATGATCCAAGTGTTCACAAACTCTGAAAACTCATAAGCAGGTTTTCCACAGCTGTCATCTTTGGACCGGCAAAGTTGCATTTTGAGTGTGCTGATGATTAGCCATTAAAGGGGATTAGACATTTTACAAATTCAGGTGTTCTCATGTACCCATAGGTGTGTATATGCTCTTTACAGCAATATGGTGGCCTAACATTTGTTTTCTTTGCAGATATATAAAAAATTGAAAGCCGTGGAACACATGCATGTTTATAACAAAGAGGATATTCCGGACAGGTTTTTCTACAAAAAAGGAAAATTCGTGTCTCCTCTAACTCTTGTGGCTGATGAAGGATGGTTCATAGTAGAGGTAAAGCATAAAAGCAAAATTCTTAGACTTGCATGTGAAAAGGTGCAATATATGAAAGCAATAAGAAAAATGTACAAATCTATGCTGGCCATTGAGTTAAAGTGTTACATCAGTTACTTGGACAGAAAAACTAATGTCAAATACTGCGGTGTGCTTAGAAGAGCCTTCCCCCCTGCCCATCTACCTTCATCTCCGACACAAAAAGAGTGTTTCCATTTCAAGACCTTACTATCATTCCATTCATCAGAACTTTGTGGTGACTTTTCCTTCTGCCTGGCTTCCCACTCGCCAGACTCTGTCCTAAAAATGCCTTATTTCTCACCAGCCCTCTGATCTCAGAACTAGGGTTTTACTCCTCAGAGACACTCACTGCACACATTGCAAATCTGAGAGCTCTTTAAGCAGAGAGTCAATTAGACCTGCACAGGAAGAGATTTTTCATGCCATTTTGGGGGTGGTGGTGGTTGTTGTTGCTGTTACTAATTTTGTGACCTTTAGAGATACCAGGCTTTGCTCAAGATGCTCCATACTACCACATTTCTCATTAGCCAACCTGATTTTAGGATAATCATCTCTACAGCTGAATAAAAATACATTTCTAAAAAAAACCCAACTGCTTTTGAGTACAGATGGGTGAGCACCAAATTTATGGTTAAAAATATAAAAAAGCCAGAGTTAAGATTCAGACTTGTAAAGTAGGAATTTGAAACATTTTTGCTGAAATGGTTTTTAAAAATTACGACTAAACTCTTTTGTACAGAAGTTCAACATAGAACATTTTTACATATTCTGTAAAAAAAGGCACTTTAAAAAAATCATTGAAACTCTGACAAACCTTAATAACAGTGCAGCAAACACTGCTGCTATGGTAATTAATTCTGTCTCTCTGCCCATTCCTTCCCATTGTTTCTGATTTTCAAGAATGTCCACTCATTAATGCTGTCAGATTTTCCTTCTCCTCAGTACGTTTTCATTATCTGTGAATGGGATGCAAAAATGAAAGTTTCCTGTCATATTTTTAAAGCAATAATTGAGCCTTCTATTATACTTCCTGCCCAAACCACTGAAGAGAGGATGTTCAGCTCTTCCCTATCGTGCTCACGACATGTTTTAACTCTCTGTCAGCTAGTGGATGGATAGAAGCTCTTTGAAAAAAGGGGTTTTTTGGGTTTTGGAGTTGGGTTTTTCTGAGAGAGACAAAAGGGATGTAGCTGGAAAGTTGTTTACTTTTTCCTAGCAAGGATTGTAAGAACAAAAGCCTGTCCAGATTTCGGTTAAAGCAGGATAAGGAGGGATTTTACACACCTGCTGCTGTATCGAAGCTGGTCTGCTGATACTACCTTGTTCCCTCTGCACTGGGAGTGGTCCCCATCCTTTAAGCAGAATTTCCCCCAGCAGCAGCTGAATCCACAACATCTGACAAGACCGTGGAGAGGTTTGGCTCCGGCAATGTCATGATATTGCCAAAGAAACACTGCAAATTGGATGTGACCTGGCGTGTCTGGAGCAAGCGCAGTGCAGGTTGTCCAATGGTGAGCAGCCCTGGGAACTGCAGTGAGCAGAGCCACAGTGTAAGGAAGTGCTATGGTAGGAAAAGGAGAAGGAGTCTTATTTTCTCCTTGGCTTGCTCTGAGTGCTGTCAGTGAAATAGATGAGGACAAGGAGAGATTTAATTTGTCAGCTGAAATTGTTTAATTATCTGGTACATCTGCTGACAGTTACATACAAAGAAATGCAGGGGATACCCCGGGGGTTCCCCTGCAAAGAGCTACACCTCATCGCAGTAATCATTGTCATCCTCATTGCTCCTGCGCATGGTCAGTTTTCTTCCTGGGCAGAGGAGAAAAACAAAACCAGGCAAAAGAAATGTTTGTAAAAGGAAAGGGATCCTCTGTGTGTCTGCTTCACTTTCTGCAGGGGTTGCAGGACCACTCGCTCAGAGTGGAAACATGGGAGACTTCATTGGGGCATCTTCTGTGCTCCTGTGACAGAGTAGGAAGCCCAGACATGGCCATTTTAGGGAACTGTTGCTCCTTCTCTGTAACCATGGGAGAAATTAATGCCAGGGATCTAATGAACTGTCTGGTGATGTTCTTCATCTCAGTGAAATTCCTGCCATAATTTTGGAGATGTCTGGAGTGTGACATCTGCTGCCATCCCTAGGGAGCACAGTACAACAGAGACTCGAGGAGAGGGTTGTTCCAGCATTTTGAGCAGTCCCTAGGGACTGCTGCTCCCAAGGGGGCCAGGATATGGCACTGCTGTAGGTAGTCTGGTAAGAGCTGTTAGTACAGAGCAGGAGAAAGGAAGGAAGGAATTTAAAAGTATCATTTAAGTGCAATATGGGCAAGGAAAAGAAAAAGAATTATGGTGATGAATTCTTAAAGCATGAACACTGAGCAGGGAGAGGAAACTGGGAGTGGTCTATGCCAGGGAGAATGGGACCGTCTTGGGACTGTGCCTGCACTCCCTGGAAGGAACCTCTCTGCTTTAATAGTAAAATGGCAGGCAGGACCTAACTACACTCTGCTGTTGTCAACCAGAGCAGGGACAAGCTGCCCTTCTGGGAGAACGGGACAGGCTGGAAGGAGGCCTGGCAGAACGGCTGGCATGGCTACGACAATGAGCTCATGGACATGAGAGCGTTCTTCATCGCGTACGGGCCAGGTACAGTGCCACCGCCCCTGGTGTCCCGCTCCCCTTGCAGCCCCACGACCCCTACATCCCTGGCATGTCAGGACCCTGATGTGGCACTGCGACGCCCAAAAATTACAAAAAGATGGCAGGATTTCCTCAGTATGGCTGGATGCTGCAAAGGTTTCTAGCTCTATATCTGTTCCATTGCTGGAGAAATGGGGCAGAGAGATGTAAAGGGATTTAGTCAGCCCCTCTCTGACATCCCAGCACAGTAACTCTATCCTTTAGCTCTATTTTCCTAAATTTTGGCCTAAATTTTCAATTCTATTTGAAACATATGAATTCTCTGTTTGCTGGTGGATTCAGGCTCATTAGCGCAGAGCACTTTCTTTGGAAGGTTGCAGCATACCTCACCCATCTGCCCAATGGGCAGACACAAAACCCCTCATTTCTACTTCATGAGTGGAAAACACTGCTGAGCTCCAGGCTGCAACTGCAGACAGGAGCAAAAGCAAGGCAGAATGTGCAATACAACAATTTCAGGCTATTAAATCTGCCAAACATATGCATTAAAGTAGCTCCTGTACTTAATAATTTAATTAATTTTTCTTTTTTAGCTTTTAGAATAAAATTGGGCTAGAATCAAAACATTAAAATGTTTTCGCTGAGCTATGTTGCCCTGCAGCACCCCACATGCTTAGCAGGAGGTAAGCCCCAAGCCATATGATGCCAACTCCTCTCGCTGCCTGTTTTGCCTGCAGATTTCCGATCCAACTTCCGAGCGCCTCCCATCCGATCCGTGGATGTTTACAACATCATGTGCAGGCTGGCAGGAATTCAGCCGCTGCCCAACAATGGCTCCTGGTCCAGGGTGGAATGCATGCTCCGAAACACGGCCCCCTTGGCACCGCTCCCCCTGGGTGGCAGCTGCGCCCTGGTGTTGGCTCTGCTCTCCCTGTTCGCCGAGCAGATCTCCTTACTGTGATCCCTGAACAATGTGGGTCAGTGTCACCAGCAGCTCCATCTTTCTCTCTCTTTTTTTTTATTTTAAAGTTCTTCATTTGAATAATGACTTCATTAATAGAGTGCTGCCCCCCACACCTCTGTCATGCTCCACCAGGCGTGAATCTGACCCATCCTGCTTTTACAGTGGTTTAACATGAAGCCAGGTTTTGTGCTCTCTAAACACAGCCAGGGAAGTTGGCGTTGCAATGCTGGACTTACAGCACTGGTAACGAGAGCAGGATCCCGCTTGGCTGTCCACAACCTTTTCTGGTGGGTGCATGTGGACATCTCAGAACATCAGAGACATCTTACCCCAGCAGCTTTAACTGAGAGGCTAACCCTGACTCCTGGTGCTGAGGGCACAGGGGTATAGATAGATCTCTGCACATTTGTGTTTTTTCTGGCTCACTCCGTCGTCTCCAGCAGAGGCCACCTTGTCCCAAGCCTGGTCTACACCAACACGTGCTTCAAAGAGCCAAGCTCTTTGCTGAGCGATTGTAAGGCTGAGAGAGGTGTGTGGGCCGGAGAGCAGTGAGAGCATTCTGCTTCTCACAGCCTTTCCTTCCTTGTTGGACTGCCATGGAGGGGAGGGCTGGGAAAGGGGAGAGTAAGAGAAGTCCTCCACTTCAAATACAGGATGAAAGCGAAAAGGCATCTGGACACACAAGGGTCAGGAGAGAGCAAGATGAGGAAGCCTGGTGTTTAACAGCCTCTCTGCTTTTCCTGGTGAAGATAGTATCATCTGCTCAGATTTTGAGGTTTTATACCCAATTGCATTTCTGAAGGATTTTTCCATACTCACTGCTTTTCTACCAGCTCTTGCTCTCTACACTTCTGTCCAGTGAGCAGCACATCCCCACTTTGTTCTGCATCAGGGAGAGAGGTCTATGATCTCCCATCCTCTCAGTCCTTGCTAATATTTCCACCACAGGCTATCAAGCCCAAAGTAAGTTGTAATGGTAAAGTTAAATAGGAGGAGAGGATGGAGCTGTTGTCAGAGGTAATGCCTCTGGAGGTTAAGTCAAATGGATGATGTAATCCTGAAAACAATAACATGGCAGATACATTAAATCCTTGAAAATCTGATTTCACCCTACTCATTCACTCCAGCACAGCCACAGATCCACCTCAGGTCAGTGTTCAACACAGGGCTGGTGGCAAAGCCACCACCACGGTCTGTGAGTCCAGAAGGTTCATTTCACTTATTCATTAAATCGCCTAGTTGTCACAGTCCTTGGTGCTACACACCGGGATGGATGGATGCCATGGTGGGTCACCTGAGAGGTGTTCTTTTTGCATCATCAAATTTCTTCTGCGAAATAAGCTCATGTAGAATCGGACTGTAAGCGTTTGATCCTACAAAGGGTCCTTTCCTCTTTGGAAGGCTATGGCCCTCAGCAATGCCTTCAGGAGGTTTTTCTGATATACCTCTGAACCAGCGGCTTTTCATGACAAACTGCCCTTGGAAGGATTTAGGTCCCTCTCCATGCAAAATAAAACTCTAGGACTCGTTATTCCTATGGACCCAGAGTCAAGCATGACTCGGGTATGTGTGGTACAGTGAGTTTAAGGGTGAATGATTACACTGTGGAATAAAAAAACCAAACACAGAATTAAACTTGACAAAAGACTTCTTGTAATAGCTGTAAAGATTTATGTAATGTGTTTTTAAAGCTCAAGTGAACCATCAAATCAATTGGGAAAAAAGGGAGAAAATCAGTCTTTGTTATTAGACTGTTCAGTATAAAAGGCAATTTAGTGCTTTTGAAGCATTTGCAGTAGCTGTAAAACAAGCACCTATTGTTCAGAGTTCCCTGTTGCTCCTTAATGGACCAGGTTCCATGAATTCACTGGAGCACATTTTTAAAGCAAAAAAAATTATCAGTGTACAAGATAACCAAATGACTAAATTACCAAGTTTTGTTTGAAAATCAACAGGATAGATACAGTCAGTGCCTGCTAATCCCTTCACAGCCTGCCATTTTAACTCTTAGAGTGAAGAGAACCCAAGGTCCTTTTACAGAAGAAAAGATCCTGAAAGTGTAACGGTATATTCAAATTCTCAATTATACAAGCAGAAAATGGAAATAACAGATCGGGTCCATTGAGTTGCTCCAGGGGTGGGCCACGACACATGAAACAAACGTTGATCCCTAGGAGTACTTCGTGTAACTCATTTTTGACAGTATCCACCTGCAAATACTGCAGAATAAATCTTTTAATTGCAATATGATTCATTTGACCTTAATGCCAGCATTGTGTTTACAGCAATACAACTCAAAAGATACTTGAACTGTAAATGGGAAATTTGACGGCAGACCTACAAGAAGCTCATTAGCTTCAGGAGAACTACAGCTGATTATTTTTTGAGAAGTGCACCTTTCTTCCTCAGAAATGTACCTCTGAATCAGTTCACATTCTCATTCAAAAATCAAGTGTCTTGACTCTAGCCTATTTTTCTGTATACTATGCAGTGAAGGTGGGTGTACTTCAAAACCTATTTCTGAATGATGTTTTTGTATAATGACTGATCGTGAATGAGTGAATAATTCTAAGAATGCTGTTAGAAAAAATATGCATCTTTTTGTAAATACTGTAAGATTTTGGAAGAAAAAACACCCAAAACAACAGCTCTGTAACACGTTGCCTTTCTTGTTTGATTGCTGCATCGAAGTGTGATAAACAGTGTTTGAAGCTTGTGCTGATTAATCATCAGAAAGATGAATGATAACATTGTTTAGAAATGGCAAAGTTGTCAGCATGTAAATTAAGGACTTTAAATACATCACACGAGATACTGTAGCTTGTATACGCAGTCCTTTTTTCCAGACGTATTTCAGTATTAAACCTTTTGAACATCCATCCAGGGACATGTAATTCACACTAACAAATGGACATAGCTGTTTTGAAAGACAACTTTCACCTACGTGGAAAAATGTTTTTTTGTGTAGGTATTGAAACACATTTCTGTTAAGGGAAGATTATTGTGGAACGCTCAGAAATAATATTTCAGAATTACAGTTGACTGGGCACTGTAATTCTCAAACTTTGTACAGATGTTTATAGCTATATAGATTATTCTGAAAAAATCTGGATTCTATGGCAGTGGCTATGGGCTTGCAAACTGGTGTAAGATTATCCCAAATCTGGCAACTCTGTATCAGTGACACGGTTTCTTTCTGCTCTACCAGCCCAAATTCCCCAGAAAATGAGGGTGAGCTGCCAGCAGACCTGCCCTGGCCTCTCCCCGGCCCTGCGTGATGGCTCCCCTCTCCACCACACCGCAAGGCTGCCTTTTTCCACGACTTCCACCGGTTTCCCGGCTGGCTGTCACCTCCCTGGGCCTGCAGATAAGCTCCCGCTTTGGGGTGGAAGCCATCAATCAGCAGCACAGCTGAAGTAGCGGTTTTTCTCTGCAGTCGGGGTGGGCTGAGGCAAGGGGGAGGCAGCTCAGGGGGACCTGGAGGAGGAGACCTCCCCACACTCTGCTTTTAGGGCCTTGTTTGCCCCCCTTTCTTTTTTAGAAGGGTGCAAGCTCCAAAATTGCCGCTGGGTTTGCTGGGAGAGGAGCCCCCGCTTTGGGGGTGTGTGTCTAGCGGGGTGTTGCTGTCGGCGGGGCCCCTGCGGGCGACTCCGGCCCCGGCCCAGCGTGCCCCTCCCGGCAGCGCCCCCTGCCGGCCGGCGCGGCAGAGG